AATTGAGAAACAGTGTAGGTCAGAAGGTCAACAACAGACGTGATCTAAACTAACAGTTACAATGATAAAATCATAAGTCAAAATAAGCGAAAGAGAGAAGTGCAAGAGGGAAAACAGAGATACATACCAACTATCAGGTGAGAGAGAGACACAGGGCTGGGAAGAAGCGAAAAAAGACAGGTAAGAAAGATTCCCTAAAGAATACTGATAGCTAAACAGAGACAGGCCAAAAAAATCAAGAGACAGTATAAGTCAGAAGGTAAACACCAAACGTAATCTAGACCAACAGTTTCAATGATAAAATCATAAGTCAAAATAAGCGATCGGACTAGAGTCACTTCTGTGATCTCCGATTCCAGCCTCTCCCTTTTGTTTTTCGTTGCAGCATAGGGGTGGGGCTTTGTCTCCTGTTTCACATTGTTGCCTTAGGAGCTGAGGTAAAGTTTGTTGCTAGGTCGGCGGGGCAATGGAAGTCTCTGCCTGGAGAATGGCGAGGCAGTTTAAGCAGATCTGTTTTTCTCCGCTTGTCTGGGTCCTCTGGTTTGGGGTCTCACGCTGAGTACCTCAGCCAGGGTGGACCTGGAGTTCCAGAGCTCCAAAGTTCCAAAGGGCAGGCTCTAAACGGCACGAGTTACGCTGGGACCCTGCAGAGTACTTCAGCCAGTAATGGAACCGGTGTCTCTGAGGGGCGGGCGCTCAGAGCCTCCCTGTGCGACCTGCCGGGCCGGGGAGAGAGCTGGAGGGAGCAGGGACCCAAAACTTCCCCACACGCTGCAATACCTGGCCTTAGGAAATAAGGTAAAGTTTGTTGATAGGTGGGCAGGGCAATGGAAGTCTTTGCCTGGAGTATGGCAAGGCAGTTTAAGCAGGTCTGTTTTTCTCCGCTTGTCTGGGTCCTCTGGTTTGGGGTCTCACGCTGAGTGCCTCAGCCAGGGTGGACCCGGAGTTCCAGAGCTCCAAATTTCCAAAGTGCAGGCTCTAAACAGCGAGAGTGGCGCTGGGACCCTACAGAGTACTTCAGCCAGAAATGGAACCAGCGTCTCTGAGGGGCGGGTGCCCAGAGCTTCCCTGTGTGACCGGTGGCTTGATGCTGGGTGCCCGGGCTGGAGACAATGCAGCCGGGGAGGGATCTGGAGGGGGCTGGGACCGGAGACTTCCACACATGAGTAGAACGGCAGCAGTGGGGGGAGGGGCGCAATATCTGGCCTTGCGTGGGACTGAAGTTCCCGGGCCTGACCCCAGCACGGTTGGTGGTGGGCTGGGGGATGGGGGTAGCGAAGTGATAGCCTTTTTGGGAACTCACGTTCAGAGAATCTCACCAGTTCACCTATGCCGTCGCCATCTTGCCCCGTCTCCGACTTTTTTTTTTTTTTTTGGCTTGGAGTCTCACTCTATCACCCAGACTGGAGTACAGTGGCCACTCCCGACCACCGCAGCCTCGACCTGCTGGGCTCTGGTGATCTTTCTGCCTCAGCCTTCCAAGTAGCTGGAACTACAGGTGCGCGCTACCATGCCTGGCTAATTTTTTTGATTTATTGTAGAGATGGGGTCTCGCCAAGTTGCCCAGGGGGGTCTCAAACCCGCGGGCTCAGGCAGTTCACTCACCTCGGCCTCCCAAGGCACGGGAAGGGTGGTAGACTTTTAGATATATACTATACATATGAATGTATCTGAAAGGCCTAGTATATCAGAACTTACTAAGTAGAGTTCATAATGACTGCATTCTTTATTGTCTTGGCCATTGTTTATAGACTTCTTACTCTATGACTTTCTTTTTAAATTTTTGTGTTATTATGGAAGTATCACATTTTAGACAGTTTTGAAACAATGGAAAAGCATAAAGAAAACAAATCAGAGCTGGGCATGGTGGCTAATGCCTGTGATCCCAGCACTTTGGGAGACCAAGGTGGGAGGATTGCTTGAGTCTAGGAGTTCAGGACTACCCTGAGCAACATAGCGAGACCTCATCACTACAAAAAAAGAAAAAAAAATCAAAAAAATTAACTGGGTGTGTGGAGGCATGCACTTGTAGTCCCAGCTACTTGGAGGCTGAGGCAGGAGGATTGTCCACACCTAGGAGGTTGAAGCTGTGGTGAGCCATGATTGTGCCACTGCAGACTCCAGCCTGGGTGACAGAGTGAGACCCCTGACTCAAAAAAATTAAAAGTAAATAAAACAAAATCCTTACAAGTCTACATTTTCGTCTCAGGTCTTTTGACACATGTATATGTGTATATTGTGTTTCATAATCTTTTAAAATTTAATATTATGATGAATATTTTCTGGCGTCAGTAAATGTTCTTTTTTAAGAAATCTATTGAGTCTTCTACCCATTATCCTGCATTTTAGGTTTCTGGCCACATATATTATTTTAAATGTGTACATAAATAGTTGTGAGCATTACTAATAATTTCTTCAGGATAACTATTTCTTCAGGATAAATTCCTGAAAATGAGGAAATCTGGAAATACTAGATCAAAGAGAGCCCATGGTTTAAGACTTGATTTCTGTTGTCAAATTACTCTCTAAAAAGGTCTACTAGCTGTGTATAAGTGAAAGACTTTTACACATGACTTTTTAAATTACTGATTATTCTTTATTTTCTTAAGCAATATTGTCCTTACATGGTTTAACTTTCTTTTTTTTCTTTTTTTTTTGAGTCAGAGTGTCACTCTGTCACCCACACTGGAGTGCAGCGGCTGCTCCTGGCCACCACAGCCTCGACTGCTGGGCTCTGGAGATCCTTCCGCCTCAGCCTTCCGAGTAGCCAGAATTACAGGCATGTGCTACCACGCCCGGCTGATTTTTTTTTTGGATTTATTGTAGAGATGAGGTCTTGCTGCCCAGGTGGGTCTCGAACCCACGGGCTCAGGCAATCCACTCACCTCAGCCTCCCAAAGGTGCAGGATTACAGGCTGAGCCACCGAGCCCGGCTCGGGGCCATAAATTTAATAACAGTAAATGTTAACTTAGTATTTATCTACATGGTACTAGTAGTTTTGAACTAATTTATTTTTAAATTTCTCAGTGTCAGTTTATATCATTATTGAATTTTGATTGTCAAGTGGGAGTGATACTTGTCCTCTGCTTCTGCTAGTCCATATCAGAATCATCCCAGAAATTTTGACATAACTCTTTCGCCTACCTACTTCCTGACCTTCTCTGTTCACCTCACGTGTTATTTTTGTTCCTGCCTCCCAAACCTTAGTAGTAAGCTACTATTACTAATGGGAATATATTAGAATTTTCAGATCTAATGGTACAAACAAAAGCATTGAGAATCCCTGTTCTGGTGCTTTTCAGATTATTTTTGTGGTTAGTCCTACGTGCTTCATCTTAAAAAAAAGAAAAAATGGAAAGGGAAGGAGAAAGGGAAAATAAATAATGAAGCACTAAGTTTGCCAGGCCATTATGGTTGGGTTGTTTCCTATAGATTCCTCAATTTAAAAAATAAAATTTAAAAGTTGTCAACAGTTCCTAAGTTTCTGTGCACATAATTATGAACTACAGTTGACCCTTGAATGTTGCAGGGGTTAGGAGCACTTGACCCTCTCATGCAGTCTGAAACTCGTGTATAACCTTTGACTTCCCAGAAACTTAGCTACTAAGTCTATTGTTGTCAATTAACACGTTTTGTTATGTTATATGTTTTATATACTGTATTTGTAGAATAAAGTGTGGTAGAGAAAAGAAAATGTTATTAAGAAAATCATAAGGAAAATAAAATACATTTCCAATACTATACTATATTTATCAATACCTAAAGTTTGCATCATCTGTTTATAAGATGAAATGTCTGTCCAAAAGGTGGGCAACCACAACTACAGACCTCAAATCTGTGGTACATATCAAACAACTTAACTTTTACTTGTTAATGTTATGATTTTTCTCTGCTTCTTGGGAGCACTTCCAGGATCACTACAGGCCCTTTGTATGGGTCCCATGGTGTTATTCGTGGTTTACTGTATTCCACTAAACATGGTAAAGATTACATGAGAACGCCGGGCTCACTGGCTCAGCCTGTAATCCCGCGCCTTTGGGAGGCTGAGGTGAGTGGATTGCCTGAGCCCGCGGGTTCGAGACCCGCCTGGGCAGCGAGACCTCATCTCTACAATAAATTAAAAAATCAGCCAGGCGTGGTAGCGCATGTCTGTAATTCCGGCTACTTGGAAGGCTGAGGTGGAAGGATCGCCGGAGCCCAGCGGGTCGAGGCTGCAGTGGCCGCTCCCAGTCTGGGCAACAGAGTGAGACTCCAACTCAAAAAAAAAAAAAAAAAAAGATTACATGAGAACTGCGAGAGACATTTTTTTACTGCCATATGCAGTTTACTGAAGAGGTGAATTGCTCATGTGGAGATGATTAGCATCACACAGCATTTTAAGTAAATACTTACAACACTTGAGCTCACCCAAACAGCAACAGGAGGTGGCTATGGAATTGTTATAGTAACATAGGATGTACTAAAATGAATTTTATGCCGTTATGATTTAATATTTCATCTTTACTTTTGTTTACATTCTTCTTGTCTACAAATGGCACCATGTATGGAGGACTGTGTATGTAATTTTGGATGAAACTTAACTTTTTCTAATTTGTGTATATTTTATGGTAGCCAATGATAAGACTGACTAATTTATACATATATTTCATGCATTCATGACATACTTGAATTTTTCTAAATGTTTTCCATATTTCTAAGCTATGTAGTTTGCTAGTTTTTCAAATTGTTGGAAATCTCTAAAAAAATTTCCAGTATATCTATTGAAAAAAGGTACATATTAAGTGAATCAACACAGTTCAAATCTGTATAGTTCAATGATCAATTGTGATTATTTTTGTTTTTATTGTTTGAAAGAAGCACAGATACCTACTATAACTTATCTTGTATAGGTCATGGGTGCTTATCTCAGAAAAAAATTTTATTATAATTTTCTTGACTAATGTTGAGAACTTAAATATTTCTACTCCTTGAATATTTTTGATCATTTGCTGTTTTCCTTAGTTCCTGAGAAGTCTCTTTGTGAGCATGTAGTGACTGGAAATGTCCATCCTGAGGCAGCAGTGAGGGTCATTCAATCCATGGCTCGTTTCATGGCCGCCTATTTCACCAATCAGCAACTTTGCATTTTGCCACCTCACAATGTGAATGTTCTTCCTCCACTTCATATTAAAATAGGTAATATGGTAAACAAATAATTTTCTCATCTTTATTTTTGTATATGCATAATATTTAAAATCATATTATACAAAGATAATTATTCTATGGAAATAGTACTATTGTAACGTAGTGCCTGACATATGGAAGGCTATTTGTGACTATTTGTGAATGAATAGAATCTGAAAAAGATAGTTAACTTGGATTTTTTTTTTTGAGTTGGAGCCTCACTCGGTCACCCAGACTGGAGGGCAGTGGCCGCTCCCGGCCACCGCAGCCTCGACCTGCTGGCCTCTGGCGATCCTTCTGCCTCAGCCTTCCAAGTAACTGGAACTACAGGTGCGCGTAACCACGTCCGGCTAATTTTTGATTTATGGTAGAGATGAGGTCTTGCCAAGTTGACCAGGCAGGTCTCGAACCCACGGGCTCAGGCAATCTACTCACCTCAGCCTCCCAAAGTGCTGGGATTACAGGTTGAGCCACCAAGCCCAGCTAACTTGGATTTTTAAAAATTGAGTATGAGCCAGGTACAATGACCCATGCTTATAATCCCAGCACTTTGCAAAGCAGAGGTGAGAAGACTGCCTGAGCCCAGGGGTTCAAGACCAGTCTAGGCAACTTGGTGAGACTTCATCTTTGCAATAAGTAAAAAAAAAAAATTAGCCAGACACAGTGGTACACACTTGTGGGTCCAGGTACTTGAATGGCTGAGGTGGAAGGATCAACTGAGCCCAGCACGTCAAGCCTACGGTGGTGGTGAGTGTGCCACTGCAACTCAGGCTAGGCGACAGAGTGAGACTCCAGCTCAAAAAAAAAATTGAATATGGTTTGTTTGTTTGTTTGTTTTTGAGTTGGAGTCTCATTCTGTCGCCCAGACTGGAGTGCGGTGGCCGCTCCCGGCCATCGCAGCCTCGACCTGCTGGGCTCCAGCGATCCTTCCACCTCAGCCTTCCAAGTAGCTGGAACTACAGGTGCATGCTACCATGCCCGGCTAATTTTTGATTTATTGTAGAGATGAGGTCTCGCCAAGTTGCCCAGGCGGGTCTCGAACCCGCGGGCTCAGGCAATCCACTCATCTCAGCCTCCCAAAGGCGCGGGATTATAGGCTGAGCCACCGAGCCCGGCTGAGACAAGCCTTTTTATTCCTCATGTGAATATCTTCCCAGTGAAAGATGAGGATCAGAGAGAAGGTTTTTGAACTTTTTCTTCCTGTGCCCATGATTGTGCTTATTGAAATTTAAATATCTGAGATTTTATATGTATGCTTTATTTCTTTTAGTTTCCCAGTACTGTCTTGAAAAACAGTAAAATCAGCAGTCTCAACTTAGAATACATTTCATGTTTTTTTCTAATCAGAACTGATGGCAGGACATTAATATTGGGAATTTCAGTAGCTTATTTGGTAAACTTTTTTACTGTGTGAAAACTTTTTTACTGTGTGAAAGTAGTAGCCATGTGTGGTGGCTCACGCCTGTAATCCCAGCATTTTGAGAGGCAGAGGCGAGAGGCTTGCCTGAACCCAGGGGTACGAGACCAGCCTGGGCAACTTGGCAAGACCTTGTCTCTTCAATACATCAAAAAATTAGCTGGGCATGGTGGCGCACGCTTATAGTTCCACCTGCTTAGATAGCTGAGGTGGAATGATTGCCTGAGTCCAGCAGGTTGAGGCTGCAGTGGCCATGAGTGTGCCTCTGCACTCCAGCCTGAGCAATAGAGTGAGACTCCGACTCAGAAAAAAGTAGTAAAATTTTCAAAAAATTAAATCATTCACGTTATTTTAGAATTATAGTGTCTTGCTCATAGTGACTATAAATAGGAAATATTTAGTCAATCTTCTGGTTTCTTTACCTATACAGAATCAGACATCCAAGTGATTGAAATTTTTTTTATTTTTATACAGATAACATTTCTCCCATCATATTTTCAGGTTGCTTTATCAAGTTACTTCAATTAGGAAAAGGTACACAAGGCTGGAGGGAAGGATATTACCTCTTTGTATTAAATCAGGCCAGACAAGACTCTTGTCATTAGTCAAGATTAGTGAAACTCTAGCCAGGCTCGGTGGCTCAGCCTGTAATCCCACGCCTTTGGGAGGCTGAGGTGAGTGTATTGTCTGAGCCCGCGGGTTCGAGACCTGTCTGGGCAGTGAGATCTCATCTCTACAATAAATCAAAAAAATCAGCTGGGTGTGGTAGCGCATGCCTGTAGGTCTGGCTACTCGGAAGGCTGAGGTGGAAGGCTGAGGTGGAAGGATCGCCAGAGCCCAGCAGGCGAGGCTGCGGTGACTGGGAGCGACCGCTGCACTCCAGTCTGGGTGACCGAGTGAGACTCCAACTCAAAAAAAAAAAAAGATTAGTGAAACTCACACTTTTCTATTTTCTAAAGAACACTAATATATTGACCACTTAATATGCTTGAGTATTACCTTAAATTATTATTTTATTGCATGACACTGTAGGTAACATAATCAGATGAAGTGTGGGCTCTGCTCATATTTTGTAATCTAGTATGAGAAATAGGCGTGTATTTCCAAGCAGCCCATAGTAATAAATTGTACATTATAACCCAGTACATATATGTGTTTTTTTAATGTATGTGCAAGCTGACACAAAAGTTTCATTAAACGGTATTTACCTTTATTTTGTGTAATACACTGATATTTTCTATTCTAGTTTTGTTTCTTTTTTTTTTTTTGAGTTGTAGTCTCAATCCATCACCCAGGCTGTAGAGCAGTGGCAGGGTCACGGCCACCCCAGCGTTGACCTGCTGGGTTCCGGCGATCCTTCCATCTCAGCCTTCCAAGTAGCTGAAACTACAGGCGCGCACTTCCACACCCATCTAATTTTTTATTTATTGTAGAGACGAGGTCTCACCGAATTGCCTGGGCTGGTCTCGAACCCGTAGGCTGAGGCAATCCACTTGCCTCGACCTCCCAAAGTGCTGGGATTACAGGCTGAGCCACCCAGCCCGGCATTTGCTTCCTTTTTAAAAGAAGACTGGCATTTGTTTCACCCACTAATGAAGCACATTTTCAGTGCTTTAAAAAAACTGTTCTAGTTGGTCAGTATTATTTTAGCCCATATTGTATGTATCTTCCTTGTGGTTTTGTGTAGAATATATCATTTGTAGAGATAAATATACCCATGTAAAGAGGCATGAATTCAGATATATGTAATTACAATACCTGTTTTCTTTCATTTACTCACAGAGCAGTCTCTTCGACTTATTCCTCTGCAACACTCTAAGGTGGCCAGTGTTGTTAGAGACCAGAATCTCTCTCATGTTTGGACAGTTGAATATGCACTTGAATTATTATTCATTAGTGGCCTGGTTCCAGAGGCTGTGTGGTTGGCACATAAACTTGGAGACTGGAAGACATCTGTTTCAATTGGTGTGGCCTTCCAACTATTCTGTAAACATGATAGCAGTTTCTTAAGGTATGTGTTTTTAAACATACTTGTTAAGATATAGTATAATAGTACCATCTAAAGTATTTTATATTTCTCTTATTGCTGGTATTTGCATATTATGTGGAATCCTTAGTTCAGCACTGTCCAGTGGAACTTTGTTCAGTGATAGAAATGTTCTATATATGCTATCCAATATGGTAGCCACTAAGCACAGGTAACTATTGAAATGTGGCTACTAAGAACTGAATTTTCAATTTAGTTTTAATTGATTTAAATTTGAATAGCTACATGCAGTTAGTGGTTACTGTGTTGGATAACTCAGTTGCTTACTTATTTGTGCGAAAACATCAGTTTAGCATATTTATGTATTAGTAATGTCCTTAAAGAGTTTATCGTCAATGGGAGAGTTTATTCAAATAGAATTTGTGTTTTAAGCTAATTAAATAATCTCTGATTTTAACTTTTTTAGATATTATGACATTACCATGTCTTTTATATATATTTCAATTCAATAATTCAACATATCCAGGCTCGGTGGCTCAGCCTGTAATCCCACGCCTTTGGGAGGCTGAGGTGAGTGGATTGCCTGAGCCCGTGGGTTTGAGACCCGCCTGGGCAGGAGAGACCTCATCTCTACAATAAATCAAAAAATTAGGTAGCGCGTGCCTGTAATTCTGGCTACTCGGAAGGCTGAGGTGGAAGGATTGCTTGATCCCAGCAGGTCGAGGCTGCGGTGGCCAGAAGCGGCCGCTGCACTCCAGTCTGGGTGACAGAGTGAGATTCCAACTCAAAAAAATAATAATAATAATTCAACATATACAGTATTTGTTTATTAGGTAACTACTGTGTGCCAGACTCTGTACCAGGTATTTTAGTGAGCATAAACTTGGATTGGCATATAGTTTCTATACTTAAGGCACCTATACTTTAGTAGAGAAAATCAGACAAAACATTGTAATTTATATAGCATGTTAAAAAAAAAAGTGCCAGTGGTATAGTGGGGAGAGTGAAAATATAATTTGGGGGAAAGACAGAACATACTTTGTGTTGAATATGTCAGTTGAGATGGACTTTGAAGGGTAAATAAGATCTTGACACATAAGTGACTAGAGAGAAAGAGAGAACATTCTAAGCATTAGCAAAGACATTGGGCAAATCACAATTATTGAGGGGTGTAATTGGAAATAAGAATGGGGAAATATATTAAGATCATAGTCATGACAAGACTTTTTTTTTTTTTTTTGAGTCAAAGTCTCATTCTGTCGTCCACGCTGGAGTGCAGTGGCACAATCACGGCCACTGCAGCCTCAATCTGCTGAACTCAGGTGATCCCTTCCACCTCAGTCTTCTAAGTAGTTTGAACTACAGGCACATGCCACCATGCCCAACTAATTTTTTTATTTATTGTAGAGATGAGGTCTTGCCAAGTTGCCCAGGCTGGTCTCGTACCCCTGAGTTCAGGCAGTCCTCTCGCCTCTCCTTCTCAAAGTGCTGGGATTACAGGTATGAGCTACCATGCCTGGCCTATGGCGGATCTTAATATAATATTTCCATAAATTTTTTTTTAACATGTAGAATGAGCTAGAAAAGTAAATTTCATTGTTTCTCAACATTTTATGTTTAGTCCTTGATGGGGGCAATCCTTCCCTTTTTAAGAACTTGGATTCATTTCCCTCAATTTGATGTCATTTCAGGTCCAAGAAAAAGAGTCTAAATCTACCAGTAAATATGACTCCGGCACAGATTTTTCGGGAAAAACTGCATTGTCTTTTAGGTCAGCCAGCCTCTTTGGAAGCAAAAAATGAAATGGGCTCAAGATGTAAACAATTTACAGGTATGTTACCTAAGAACTGACATGTGTCAGGTTAATATAAACTTTGCAGTATTTTTAAAAGTTTGTAAATATCTAAAAGTATATTAATACTTTGAAATAAGCTTATCAAAAATAAAAGTACAGTATTTATACTTAATCATGGCAACACCCAAATTTGATGCCAGCTCAAATTATTAACATGAGGGTTAATAACTTAATAATTTTCTTATTTTCTGTACATTGTACTAATAGAATTTTGCTTCATTTGGATCATTTTCTTTTGGATCTGTAGGATCATAGAATCTGATACCTGAAGGGATACTTAGAAGTGATTTACTTTAACTCTCATCTAGTATATAAATCACAGATTATTTTTTATTTGGAAAGTTTGAAGTGGTATTAAAAGTTAGAAACAATATACTACATAGTTACTCAATAATTTTATAAGATAATCTATTTTACACATAGAGAAATTTAGACTAAAAGTAATGAAATAAGTTCTTTAATGTCATATATTTAACAGTAAAACCAGGACAACTGTGGGGCTCTGGTGTTTCCATAAGTGTTGTATTCTATTAAGGAGTGAGATTTCCAACTGTAGATTCCTAAAACTTGCAAGTGTTTCTCCTGAAAGAACCCACAATACTTGGAAATCTGACTGTAAACTTTTCTTTGATAATTTTATGTGCAATTTCTTTTTAATTAATGAAAAGATGTTACTACATGAAAATTGGATTTGGAAAAAGGTCTAAAAAATTCTCAACCTGAACTTGAGTTCTGATAGTATGTTGTTTTAGATTATCTGAAAACTCTCTCACAGTAACTACATAGGTAAAATGTTTTTCTAGATAAAATATGGGCCGGGTGCGGTGGCTCAAGCCTGTAATTCCAGCACCTTGGAAGACTGAGACAAGAGGATTGCTTGAGCCCAGGGGTTTGAGATCAGCTTGGGCAACTTGGTGAGACCTCGTCTCTACAGTATACCCAAAAATGAACTGGGCATGGTAGAGTGTGCCTATAGTTCCAGCTACTTGGAAGACTGAAGTGGAAGGATTGCCTGAGCCCAGCAAGTCGACACTGGGTTGGCTGTGAGCGTGCCACTGTACTCCAGCCTAGGCAACAGAGTGAGACTCTGACTCCAAAAAAGAAAAATCCATATAAAGGTCAAACTTTAAAGAAAGTAAGAACAATTGTCAGACATTAGAAACAAAGAGCAAATAAAAACTCAAAGGATTCTATTCTTAGGTAGTACGCAAGAATAGAGAAGCATACATCTACCCAAAGATCTGTACATGAATATCTGTAGCAGCTTTTTCATAATAGCCAAAAACTGGAAACATCTCAAATGTCCATGAACAGGTATATGAATAAACAAATTGCAGTTTATTTGTAAAATGGAATAATAAATGATAAAAAGGTACAAACTACTGGAAACATGATAACATAGATGCATTGCAGAACCATCATGCTAAATGAAAGAAGTCAGAAACAAAGGCTACACACTTTATGATTCCACTTATGTGGCATTCTGTGAAAATGAAACTATAGAAACAGAAATCGATGGTTGCCTGAGAATTATGGGGAATTGACTACAAAGGAGCGTAAGAGAACATGTTTGGAGTGATAGAAATATTCATACAGGCCTATATAGATCTATTAAACTTTATTGAGTATGTCTCACTCTGTTGCCCAGGCTGGGGTACACTAGCACGATCCCAGCTACTTTTTAAGCCTCAACCTGCTGGGCTCAGGTGATCCTTCTGCTTAGCCTTCCAAGTAGCTGGGACTACAGGCTACAATACTACAGAAATGTAGAGAGGAGGTCTTGCCATGTTGCTCAGGCTTGTCTTGGACCCCTGGGCTCAGTCAATCCTCTCGTCTCCACCTCCCAAAGTGCTAGGATGACAGACATGAGCCACCATGGCTGGCTGAATTGTATACTTTTAAAAGGGTAAATTATGCTGAGTGTGGCTTACGCCTATAATCCCAACACTTTGGGAGGCAGAGGCAGGAGGGTTGCTTGAGCTCAAATTTGAGAATAGCTTAGGCAGCATAGTGACATCCCATCTTTACAAAAAAATTTTTAAAAAATAGCTGAGTATAGTGGTGCACATTACTCAGGAGACTAAGGCAAGATGATCACTTGAGCCTAGGTGGTCAAGGCTGCAGTGAGGCATAACCGTGCCACTGCACTCCAACCTGGGAGACAAAATGAGAATCTGTCTCTAAAAAATAAAAAATTAAAAGGGTGAATTGGACTGGGTGCAGTGACTCAAGTCTGTAATTCCAGCACTTTGGGAGGCCAAGGTGAGGGGATTGCCTGAGCCCACAGGTTTAAGAATAGCCTGGGCGACTTGGTGAGACCTAATCTCTACAGTAAATCAAAAAATACCCGGGCATGGTAGTGCTCACCTGCAGTTCCGGCTACTTGGAAGGCTGAGGCGGAAGGTTCACCAGAGCCCAGCAGGTCGACGCTGGGTTGTCTGTGAACTTGTAACTGCACTCCAGCCTGGACAACTGAGTGAGACTCCAACTCAAAAAAAAAAACAGGTGAACTATATGTAAATTATGTCTGAATAAACCTGATTATAAAACAAAAAGCTCAATAAATGGCAAGTTATTAGACAAGTTTAAGAGCAAATTAGTGAACTGAAAGATGAATCTGAGCTATATATTTTTACAAAATATTATATAGAGATACAGATAATAGATATAAAATATATAGAGATAGAGTTAAGCTTTGTAGAACATATATGTCTAATTGGAATTCCATTATATTCACACCAAATTCTGGATAGTGACTACCTAAATTGAATATAGCAAAAATGGCCGGGCTCGGTGGCTCAGCCTGTAATCCCAGCACTTTGGGAGGCCGAGGTGAGTGGATTGCCTGAGCCCGCGGGTTCGAGACCCACCTGGGCAACTTGATGAGACCTCCTCTCTACAACAAATCAAAAATTAGCCGGGCGTGGTAGCACGCGCCTGTAGTTCCAGCTACTTGGAAGGCTGAGGCGGAAGGATCGCTGGAGCCTAGCAGGTCGAGGCTGTGGTGGCCGGGAGCGGCCATTGCACTCCCGTCTGGGTGACAGAGTGAGACTCCAACTCAAAAAAAAAAAAAAAAGAATATAGCAAAAATGTTTATATCAGAGAAGGATAATAAGTCAGTAATGAGTGTTGTTATATTATCTACATTACAGTATGCTTAAATATTTTATAATAGAAAAAACCCTGAGTCTCCAATTCTACCACTTGCATTTCCTTGCAGTTTGCTTTCTGGGGCATGTCCACATATATACAGATACATTACTCACAGAGTTGAAGCTGGCTGGGTGCAGTGGCTCACACTTGTTTGAGTCCAGGAGTTTGAGACCAGCCTGGGAAATATAACAAAACCTTGTCTCTACAAAAAAATTTAAAAATTAGGTGGCATAGTGGTGTGCACCTGTTGTTCCAAGTACTCGGGAGACTGAGGCAGAAGGTCACCTGAGCTCAGAAGGTTGAGGCTGCAGTGAGCCTTGATTGTGCCACTATACTGCAGTCTGGGCCACAGAGTGGGACCCTGACTAAAATAAAATAAGATGAAGTTGAAGCCATACTATATAGAAGACTATATTGTATTTTTCTGTTTTGTTCATAAGTCATTTTATTAACTTTTGTTATGCAGAAGCACTATAATGGACTATTAAGAAAAAGTTACTCTCACTCTGCTTTCACGTAATGTATATTGTTTTGGTCTCAATATTTTCCAATTACTTTTATTTTTTGACTCAGAACTACATTTCAAGAATATTTTTATTATATAGTTGGTACTATAATATCTTGTATAATTCTGGAAAAAAGTCTCAAGTTCTGATTGTTTATATTTTAAAGTTCAGGATGGTTAATAAATTTCTGCTCATAAGTTTGAATGTTTTGCATGTCTACCAATATGTTTGTTCTTGACAATGAATTTTTTGAGGTTTGAAATTTCATTCTACAAAATAGGATGAGAAATTAACATAAATTTAAACTATTTTACAAAATTTTGTATTTGATAGACCCCATTGAAGAGGAAGATGCAAATCTGCTATTTGGATCAATGCAAGAAGTATTGAAAGCGTCAGTTATGGTAGATGCGGATATTCTTTCAGAGACATTTCAACTTCTCATAGACTCTGCCAAGGACTTCAGTAAGAGATTGTGGGGCTTAGTGCCAGGCGGCTTATATCTTCCAGCGCCTCCATTATATTGTCCCCAACCAGCTATTCTTAGTGAAGTAAGCTTAGTGCTTTAATCTTTTAACTAATTTAAAGTTGATTTTGTCTAATTTTTAAAAGAGTCAACCTGATAGTAATCATGTTAAAAATGCAGGCTCTGATGACATACTTTTGGATTCCAGCTTTGCCATTCACTAATTGATCTTAGGTAATATACTAAACTGCTGTTTAAGTTTCTTATCTGTAAAATGCAGGTGATGATAGTACCTCTCATAGCATCATTGAGAAGATTAAGTGAGATATCCTTTAAAAGCTGCTAACTCAGAACCTGGAACCTACTAATTATTCAAGAAATGAACAAATTATTGTAATATAGCAAAATCTCAATATCTAGACTCTTAAAAACTAGGTATTTGTTTAGTGTAACAAATTTAGTAATGATTGTCAGAATTAGCCATACATTATTTCAGTATTTTATTTATCTCTGTCTTTGCTTTTTTTGAATGACTTATTTTGTGTTTACTTTGATTTGAAAGGTCATTCTTTTTCTCCCACAGTATTCAATTGATAGTTTTGTCTTATAAGTGGCAATTCAATACTGTATTACTCTCAGAAACTTTTCCTTTGCTCTTATTAAAAATAATATTACAGGCCAGGCTCGGTGGCCCAACCTGTAATCCCAGCACTTTTGGAGTCTAAGGAGAGTGGGTTGCCTGAGTCTGTGGGTTCAAGACCAGTCCGGGCAATTTGGTGAGACCTTGTCTCTACAATAAATAAAAAATTAGCCAGACGTGGTAATGTGCGCCTGTAGTTCTGGCTACTTGGAAGGCTGAGGCAGAAGGATGGCCGGAGCCCAGCAGGTGGACGCTGTGGTGGCCATGAGTGTGCCACTGCACTCCAGATTCAATTTTACAAGGCTGGCGTAGGTCACATGCTTATCCTTTAATCAGTCATCTTAACTAGGATTAATGCAATACCCTGTTGGCCCACAATTAGGGCCTTCTCTGAAGATGTGGGTTCAGCTTTCCCTAGATCATGTGGGCTATGTAGGAGAGGGGTAGCTACCCAAGCAAAAACTAAGTATTGCTAAGAAGTAGACAGGGAAGAAGGATGTTGGGGAGCTTGTGTTTACAATACTCATCATTCTCTGGGAAAATAATCTTCAGCTACAGGTTTGAATAGTGCTTATTCAACAAGCAATAATTGGGTCCTCCCATGTGTTAGACTTTATTTTGTGCACTATGATAATAATACAAAGACTAGTGACAAGGCCCTTGCTCTTGAGAGTCCTTGTGCAGTGGGAAAGATATAAATCAGTATGGAATAAATTGGTAAAAGCTACAATGGAAGTATGAGCAAAGTGCTCTTATAGCACAGAGAAAGTGACATTGAAATATAAGTAGAATTTTTCCAGGCAGAGGAAGGGAAAAGGCATTTTCCTTAGAGGAACTGTTCTCTGTAACATTCCACCAGTAGAGTCAGGAGTGGTGGACTTGAACTGTTTGAGGGTAAGACTTGGGACTAGGGTCAACTTAACCCTTTACGTTGTGTGAGAGGAGAGAAATCTTTCCTTGATGCTATAAATATCCGTTGTTGAAATCTCAGGGCCTAGCCTCAAAATTTCCTTTATAAATCTCCAGGAACAACAACAACAAAAAACTCCAAGAACATTCTAGCTTGAGAAACGCTGACTATAATTAGTCTATCTTTATTTTAACTTTAACATTTTAAGTTTCCTCATAACTAGCCACTAAAATTGATTGTTTTGTTTTCTCAGGAAGATGGTGATGATCTTCTTTTAAAAGCTGAAAAAGACAGTCGTCAAAAGGTGTCTGGAATCCTTCAGCGTGTTCTCTTGCTTTTCCGAGCATCTCGCTGTTCTTTTCCTGTAGCTCAGTGGTATATCTTGCAGTTGAGGTGGGCAAGAAAAGTCATGCAGAAGGTATGGAAATGTCTCTGTCATTTATGTGCTGTGTTAATTGAAACATGCTGATATTTGTACTATGATATTTGTAATTGTGACATTTTGCTAGGATGCTCTGTCCTATGAATCGACAAATTTTAGATTTATAGGAAGCTACCTGGATAGACGAGTTACTTTCTGCTGAAAGATAAAGACTCTGAACTGGGTCTCTAGGTTAGTTCCATCTTGTCTGGCAATAGATATGCAATCTAGTCAGTTAATTCCAGGGAATTACAGTTACTTCTCACTGCCTCCTCCACCCCCTGCAAACTCATTGAAGATTTAAACACAATTCAGAACTTTTCCCTGAAGTATCATTTGTATTCTTTTGGGGCTTATAAGTTCAAAGCATGGCAGTTAAAGTTCATTCTTGGCTTCCTCCTCTCAGTAGTCTCTACTAGTCAGGGCTTCCCCCTTACTGTCCTCTGATATCTGCAGTTCAGTTTGATTCCGGGGTGGTCATCCCCTTCTGTGCTGCATTCTTTTTTTTTTTTTTTTTTTGAGTTGGAGTCTCACTCTGTCGCCCAGACTGGAGTGCAGTGGCCGCTCCCGGCCACCGCAGACTCGACCTGCTGGGCTCCGGTGATCCTTCCGCCTCAGCCTTCCAAGTAGCTGGAATTACAGGCATGCGCTACCACACCCTGCTGATTTTTTGATTTATTGTAGAGATGAGGTCTCGCTGCCCAGGCCGGTCTCGAACCCGCGGGCTCAGGCAATCCACTCACCTCAGCCTCCCAAAGGCGCGGGATTACAGGCTGAGCCACCGAGCCCGGCTCTGTTCTGCATTCTTATCTGATCTCTAGCCCAATGGAGGACAACTGGTATGTCTCCTTATCCAGCTGTAAGTCCTTTGTAGACCTGTCTCTTTCTGAGGTATGAAAGTAAATTTTATCATCTCCAAATATCTTTAATTCAGTCTTCATTAAAATTAAATTTAAGACAAAAATCTACAACTTTTTAAATAGGAAACTTTAGAGAGACTTTAAGAAGTTATCAAGTATTTTTGAAAATTAGCCTGTTTTAGAGAGAAAGTTTGTGAAATTTGCATACAGCTCCTATAAAAATATAAGTTAAAATTGTACTCATAACTTTTTGTCACAATGGAGCTGGAAAGTAGATTAATGGTTGCTGGGGTTAGGGAGAAGAAGAAATGGACAGTGACTGCTAATGGTTTTCTTTTTGAGGTTATAAAAATGTTCTGAAATTAGACTGGTGATGGTTGCTTAACTTTGTGAATATACTAGACACCACTGAATTGTGTACTTTTAAAAGGTGAATTTTATGGTATGTGATTTATATCTCAATAAGAAATGGTGCTGAAATAACGATTCTGCACCATATTTGTTTTCTGTTTCTACCCTAATAAGTTACCACAAATTTATCAGCTTAAAACATCACCATTTATTATTTTACAGTTTCCGTACATCAGATGTCTAGGCACAGTGTGGCTCAACTGGGTCTAAGCAAGGCTGTGTTCCTTGCATAGAAGTTCTAGGGGAAGATGCATTTTCAGTCTCCTTTAGGTTATTAACAGAATTCAGTTCCATGTGGCTGTAGGACCAAGATCCCCTATTTCCTTGCTGTCTTACCTCTCTCTGTCTTTCTCTCTCCCTTTTTGAGTAAGACGTGAGTCTTTTACTCTATCACCCAGGTTGGAGTGCAGTGGCACAACCTGGCTCACTGAAGCCTCTTGGGTTCAGGAGATCCTTCTGCCTCTGTGTCCCGGGTAGCTGGGACTACAGGCACGCACCACCACACCTGGCTAATTTTAAAATTTTTTTGTAGAGACAAGGTTTTGCTATGTTGCTTAGGCTGGTCTTGACCTTCTGGGCTCAAGAGATTCTCCCGCCTCTGCCTCTCAAAGTGCTGGGATTACAGGCAGGAGCCATTGTGCCTGACCCTCTATCTCTTAGCACTATCCTACTAGTAAATGCCACTAATGTATTTGACAAGAACTTTGTACCTACCGTATTTACCATGGAATTTGACTAGTTTGAATCTTTTTGGAAATTACTAGTAGAAGGAGAAAACAGATTGCAAGCCTACTGATAATGCTTCCTTGCCAGGTTTATGTCTCTCAGAGCCCTTTCCTTTTATCTGTAACAGCCCCTCTCCCTTTTTATTATTGATTTGTTAGAGAAACTAGGTTAATTTGTCCTGTACTATAGTTTAGATTTGCCTGACAATTTTTCATTTAATGTTAGTTAACTTGTCCCTCTTTTTTATTTCCTGTAGACTGGAAGTTGATTTGTGTTCATTGAGGTAGAGATGTTAGAGTAGATTCAGGTTCAAATTTTCTTAGAAATGCGTTCTTTATAAATGTTGTATACATCCCTGTTGTACCATATCATGTGACACACGTGTCTTCTCACTTCACTTTTAGTGATGGGGAAATTGAGTGATGAGCTTGAGTCCTATAACCACCTTTATCAAAGTGCCCATCAACCCATAAATTTTTACTTAAGGTCATCCTTGTCTACAGTCATTATTTTGTTAGGGTTTGCCAAATGGTGACTTTCTATTTGATTCTGTTATTTATAGATTAGTTTTAAAAGGTTTTTGTAGGTAGACGTAAAATTTTTTTTTTTTTTTTAGTTACTGTACATGGTTTTATTTTGGATGAGATTAAGATACTTACATTTCTTTTGTTGTTTTTGAGTCAGGTCTCACTCTGTTGCCCAGGCTGGAGTGCAGTGGCACAATCATGGCTCACTGTAGCTTTAACCTCCTGGGCTTAGGCAATCTTCCTGCCTCAGCTTCCAGAGTAGCTGGGTTACAGACATATGCCACAACACCCAACTAATCTTTTGATTATTTTTGTAGCGACAGGGTCTCACTATGTTGTCTACACTGGGCTCAAGTAATCCTCCTGCCTCAGTCTCCCAAAGTGCTAGGATTACAGACTTGAGCGACTGCATCCAGCTAATACTTAAATTTCTTTATTTTCTTTATTATACTTGTGGAGAAAACTAGGGACAAATAGTATTAAATTATTCTTTTGCATTCAAAACTGAGTGAAAAGAGTGCAAGTGATTTAGTTAGAAACTTACTTCTCTTTTGAGATAAAATCTAATGAATTTCTTGAATTAAATTTGTAAGCTTCTAAAAGTACAGCTGATATTGGGTGTATTTTCCTCTTGTAGATGAGGAACCATTCTGTGTTTTCTATTCTTATCTGTCTCGTTCTTGTATAATTTACTTACAAATGATTTGCACTACTGATGCTTAATGTACTCTATTATTCTTTACTTTCAGATTCGAATGAAAGGATCCCTTCCTTCACTGAGTCCTTTCCCTCAGTCATTACTTAAATACTGTAAAGGAGGTATAGCATTCTTTAGACCTGGAGCACCTGGAGACCACAAGCTTGATGACATTTCCATTAGAGCAATAGGTTTGTCCAAAGTGAACTCCTTGGTTAGACGTTGAGCCTGAGCAGGAATAAGGATATGTTTTTCATTTAATTTGGGAAATTGTCTAAACTGTTGACTCTTCAAAATATAATATGTTCTATGATATTTTACTTTGTGTAAAATACTGGTTTAACAGTATTATACATGTATTATATATGTGGTATTAAATTCACAATTTATTATATAAAACAAATTGTGAAATTTATGACATTATTTTCATTGCCTCATTACTTAAATCTGGAATTGTAGCACTCAAGAATGTCTTTCTGTGGCTATTTTCTTAGCACTTAGCATATACTGCCGATCACTGTTTAGTAGACAGACCTTGAAGCCTTCAGCATTGACTCACCAGTTTTCTCCCTGCTTTTCTAACTTAACTACTCCACCTAAGCTTTTTTACATTTCATACACTCATATCTGTTAAATTTAACAGCTTTTGTTATTGTTGCATATTAAATTTACTTAAGTTGTTACACATTTAAGTTGCCTTTGGGATGTCAATTTTTTTTTCATGCTTTGAAATATTTCCTTAGGATTCCCAGAAGTGGAGTTTCGAAGTCAATTAACATGCCTGTTTTATTTCTCTGGAAATAAATGCCAAGTTTTATAATTCCATCAGATTTATTTAATGGCTAAAAAAATGATAGTTTTGACCAGGCATGGTGGCTCATGCCAGTAATCCTAGAACTTCAGGAAGTCAAAGTAGGAGGATTGCTTGAGCCCAGGAGTTCAAGACCAGCCTGGGCAACATAATGAGACCTCCTCTCTACAAAAAATTAGTTGGGTATGGTAGCATGCACCTGTAGTCCCAGTTGCTCAGTAGGCTGAGTCAGAAGGATCACCTGGGCCCAGGAGGTCAAGGCTGGGTGAGCCATGATCGCGTTGCTGTACTCCAGCCTGGGTGACAGAGTGAGACCTGACTCAAAAAAAAAAAAAGAGTCTTATATTAGTATGTCTTTATTTTGACTAATTATATTAAACATTTAGTTTAATATTTGTATTTCTATCCTATAAATTTTCTGTACATGGTCTATGTTCAGTGATTTGCATAGTGAGTTTAAAAAGAAGTAAAGCTTTAGATATCATTCCACTCTCTTCTCCTTAATTCTTCTTAACAGTTTCATTTATATTACGCTCTGACCTTATCTCCAGACTTTGATTAAAATGTTCCTTTTTGAGCCGGCATGATAGCATGCACCCAGCTACTTGGAAGGCTAAGGCAGAAATTTGAGGCTATAGTATGCTATAATTGTACCTGTTAATCGCTGTTACACTTCAGACTACTGCAACATAGCCAAAACCCATCTCTAAAAAATTTAGAAGATTCCTTCTTAACTCACTCACCCTTGGTATTAATGTTATTTTATTTTGTTTTGTTTGTTTCATTTGTTTGAGTTGGAGTCTCACTCTGTTGCCCAGACTGGAGAGCAGTGGTACTGTCATGGCCACTGCAGCCTCAACCTACTGGGCTCAGGTGATCCTTTCACTTCAGCCTTCCAAGTAGCTGGAACCACAGGCATGCGCCACCACTCCTGACTAATTTTTTGGTTTATTGTGGAGATGAGGTCTCGCCAAATTGCCCAGGCTGGTCTTGAATCCCTGAGCTCAGGCAGTCCTCTTGTCTCTGCCTCCCAGAGTGCTAAGATTACAGGCATGAGCCACTATACCCAGCCGGGTATTAATGTTAAATAATATGTGTCTTGGGGCTCAGATTGTCTGTTTTTCCAGTTGTAATGGCATTAAAATTCTTCTGGATTACTTATCTTGGCTGTCATGAGCTTAGTTTCATAGACTCTTCATCTACCCTAACAAAAAATAGTACCAGGTAGCTATTGCCTGGAAATGTATGTACAATCCTATTTCATTTCTTAAAAATCTGCAACTGTAAGCAATGAGTGAAACTCACAGCTATCCCAGTCAAAAGATTTTTTGCTCATAAATAGAGCATTTCCTTTGAAGTAATTTAAATGCAGATTTAAACATACATTTTTAATATTTTCATTTTGCTTCTTACTGAATTCTACTATTTAATTAGTCTTTTGCTTGGTTTGGTCTTTTGATTGTTAAGAAGTTATTTGCCAGGCTGGGCTTGGTGGCTCAGCCTGTAATCCCAGAACTTTGGGAGGCCGAGGTGAGTGGATTGCCTGAGCCCGCGGGCTCGAAACCAGCCTGGGCAACTTGGTGAGACCTTGTCTCTACAATAAAATAAAAAATAGCTGGGTGGGGTAGTGCGTGCCTGTAATTCTAGCTACTCGGAAGGCTGAGGCGGAAGGATCGCTAGAGCCCAGCAGGTCGATGCTGGGATGGCTGTGAGCGTGCGCGCCACTGCACTCCAGCCTGGACGAAGGAGTGAGACTCCAACTCAAAAAAAAAAGAAGTTATTTGCCTAGATTAAAAATTTTTTCTTTCCTAGTTTATCTAAAATAGTGGGTTGTGGCGAGGTGCTATGGCTCAGACCTGTTATCCTAGCATTTTGGGAGGCCAAGGTGGAAGGATTGCTTGAACCCAAGGGTTTGAGACCAGCCTGGACAACATAGCAAGACTTCATCTCTAAAAAAATTTGAAACTAGCCAGTGTGGTGGTGTGACCTGTAGGCCCAGCTACTCAGGAGGCTGGGATGGAAAGATCTATATATAGTTCATTGAGCCCAGGAGGTCAAGGCTGTGATAAACTGTGATCGTCATGCATTCCAGTCTGGGCAACAGACTATATCCCTGACTCAGGTAAATTAATGAACAAATGATTGCAAGAACTTCTGAAGCTTTTTATTATAGAAAATTTAAACAAAGGTAGCGATAACATAATGAGCTCTCAAGTACCTACCTATTTGCTATCTGCACTGATTGTCAACACAGGAAAGCAAATCTGAGACATATGATTTCAACCATAAGTACTTCAGTATATGCAGCTAACAGGGAATTTTTTAAAACCACAATTTAATTATCATGGCTGGCAAAATTAACAACAACAAAAAAATTTTTTTTTGAGTCGGTATCTCACTCTGTGGCCCAGGCTGGAATGCAGTGGCATGCTCACAGCCACCACAGCTTCTACGTGCTGGGCTTAGGTGATTCTTCTTCCTCAGCCTTCTAAATAGCTGGAACCATCAGTGAAGCTGCAGGACCGGAAGTCTCTCTGGAAGAGTGAGTGAGTGAGTGGTGAGTGAATGTGAAGCCCTGGGACATTACTGTATACTACTGTAGACTTTTAAATAGTGTATGCTTAGGCTACACTAAATTTTTTTTTCTTTTCTTTTTTTTTTGAGTTGGAGTCTCACTGTGTCGCCCAGACTGGAGTGCAGTGGCCGCTCCCGGCCACCGCAGCCTCTACCTGCCGGGCTCCGGCGATCCTTCCGCCTCAGCCTTCCGAGTAGCTGGAATTACGGGTGCGCGCTACCACACCCGGCTGATTTTTGATTTATTGTAGAGATGAGGTCTCGCTGCCCAGGCGGGTCTTGAACCCGCGGGCTCAGGCATTCTGCTCACCTCAGCCTCCCAAAGGCGCGGGATTACAGGCTGAGCCACCGAGCCCGGCTTACATTAAATTTATTAAGGATTTTTAAAAAATAATTAACCTTGGCTTACTATAACTTTTTTGCTTTATAAACTTGAAACATTTAAAGCATTTTTTACTCTGTAATTACACTTAGCTTAAACACAGTTACATGGTACAGCTGTACAAAAATGTTTTCTTTATATCTTTAGTCTATAAGTTTTTTTCTATTTAAAATTTTTTAAGTGTATCTTTTACGTTTTGGTAAAAACTAAAACACAATTACACACATTAGCCTAGTCCTATACAGGGTCAGGATCATCCGATATCACTGTCTTTCACCTCCACATCCTGTCCCACAGGAAGGTCTTTAGAGGCAGTGACATGGGTGGAGCTGTCATCTCCTATAACAACAGTGCCTTCTTCTGAGAGACCTCTTGAAGGATCTGCCTGAGGCTCCTTTGCAGTTAACTTTTGTTTTCTTAAGTAGAAGGAGTATACCCTAAAATAATGATAAAAAGCATGGTATAGTAAATATATAACCCAGTAACATAGTATTTTATTATTATTATCAAATATTATGGACTGCTAGATCTTTATATGACTGGCAGTATAGTAGGTTTGTTTACATCAACATCACCACAAACACATGAGTAATTTGTTACACTATGATGTTACAACATTAATAGGCAATAGGAATTTCTCAGATCCATTATAATCTTTTTTTCCACCTATTTTAAAGATGTGCGGTACAATTCAGGGTTAAGTATACAAATGTTTATTATGCAAGTACCCTTATTGATGATGTGTGACCTCCCCCAGCAATTTCCCACTACTGACAATCCTTTTCTTATAGTTTTATGATAATTGTTCAGGGTCAACTTTCGAGTGAGAACATGTGATACTCAGTTCTTTGTTTCTGTGATAGGTCACTCAGTATTATAGACTCTAAGTCCATTCAGGTGCTGCGAAGCCATTATAATCTTATGGAGCCATTATCGTATATATATAGTTCATTGTTGACCAGAATGTCAGTATCCAGCGCTTGAATGTATTACCTATTCTGTGTGTTTAAATTCACTTGATTATTTCAAGTATGTCTTTTTTACAGTTGTTTTCAAATCTGTATCCAAACAAGATCCTCCATACATTGCATTTTGACTGATATGTGTCTCTCTTAATCTGTAAAAGTTTTCTTCCCCGTTTTTTATTTTTATTTTTATTTTTTGTCTTGGTTTTGCTCTGTTGTCCAAGCTGGAGGGAGGGCAGTGGCATGTAGCCCCGACCTCCTGTGCTCAAATGATCCTTCTGCCTCAGCCCTCTGAGTAGGGAGTAGCTGGGACTACAGGAGTGTGCCACCATGCCTGGATGTTTTTATTTTTTATAAAGCAATGAGGTCTGCTATGTTGCTTGGGCTGGTTTTGAACTCTTGGGCTCAAGCAGTCTTTTGCTTCAGCCTCCCAAAGTGCTGGAATTGTAGGTGTAAGCCACCATGCCCAACTTTCCCCCATTTTTTATGCCATTTATTTATTGATGAAATCACATTATTTGTTTAGTAAAACTTCTTCCATTCTGATTTCAACTTTTTGGTATTTAACATTTTTGACCATGACTTACAATAAGATGCAGATTTTACATCATGATAATACATATACACACCCATATATTGGAGGGGGACTCAAAAAGACCCAGAATTTATTTTTTTAAAATGCTATATTTATACTTAATGTTTAAACTTCAGTCACCTTCAAAGTATTCTTTGACGCGATACACATATCAAGATGCATTTTTCACTGCTCAGAATAGTTTTTGAACGCGTCAGTTGTGATGCTTTTTAGTGCTTCTGATGTTTTTTGTTTCAACTCTTCCAGATAGACAAAATACTTCCTTTTAAGGACTTTCTTCATCTGAAGAAACGAAAAAAAAGGTTGAGTAAATTGGGAGGTGGGGGATGGGAGGGGTCATGCCGGTTTTTGGTCAAAAACTGCTGAACACTCAGGGCTGTGTGGGCAGGTACGTTGTCATTTTTTTTTCTTAGGTACATTGTTATGGTAGAAGAACCATTGTTTGCCACAATTCAAGACATTTATTCCACAAATTATGGCAGTCAATCTTCTCAAAACTTCCAGATAAAAGTTTTGGTTAACCGTTTTATCTGAAGGAACAAATTCTGAGTGTACTATAAGGGGAGTGCCCTCTAAAAGATAATTCCTTTTTCAAAAAAATGAAAATTTAGTGAACTCTCCTTACTCTTACTATGTGCATTGCATTCTTGATACTTTCTTTTGTATTCTCTTTTTAAAAAATGATTTCAACCCGTGGAATCGCTTCTTGTAGCTTAATAATTACTAATTATAATCTATAGTTTGAAAAACACAGATAAAGAATGCCTTTAGATGAGTAACTGCTTAGTATGTTGTTACACTCTGTCTTGATTCTTGACCCTAGTTCTATCCCAGCATGCCTGTGAAATATGCAACAGTGAAGATTGGGCCAGGCTTCCCTGGTAGAATCTATCAGAATATGGTGTGTAAGGGTGGGCATTGTGTGAAAATGCCCATAGGCAAACATGATAATTACTCTGGGTACATGTGCCTACCATACTCCCTCATTTTGTGGTGGATAGGATTTCTGGAAGACCTGCTTTCTGTTCACTTCCCCTAAGGTCACACTACTTTCTGACTTTGTAATAGTTATTTTTTAAAATATACATTTAGTAGCTTCCTAATGAAAATGAAAGTATTGGCCAGTGATATAAATGTCAGTTTACTATATATAAAAATAAGGATTAAAATATTAAGAAGTAAGTGAATGTTAAATTTTAGAGGATTGCTTTTCTCTCTCCGTAGGAAAAGGTCCTACTTTTTTTCCCTCTAAAGACAAGGCTCTGGCTGTGTAGCCCAGGATGGTCTCAAATAAAGTTATGTAATACTAGAAATGTTTTGTTTTTTTTTTTGTTTTTGAGTTGGAGTCTCACTCTGTCGCCCAGACTGGAGTGCGGTGGCTGCTCCCGGCCACCGCATCCTTGCCTGCTGGGCGCCGGCAATCCTTCCGCCTCAGCCTTCCAATTAGCTGGAACTACAGGTGTGCACTACCATGCCCGGCTAATTTTTGATTTATTGTAGAGATGAAGTCTCTCCAAGTTGCCCAGGCGGGTCTTGAACCCGCAGGTTCAGGCAATCCACTCACCTCAGCCTCCCAAAGGTGCGGAATTACAGGCTGAGCCACCGAGCCCGGCGAAATTTTTTAGTATTAAACTTTTAAAATATAAATGCATATTAAGAAGATATCTTTCAAATATATTAACTTTATAATACAGAGTTACCTGTATTGCCTTTGAAAAATATCTGTAATATACTATGAAGTTATAAAGCAAATAAACTGATAGTGATAAGTTATTTACTCCATAAATATGTTTTCAATATTTTTATGTAATTGCTTTACATGAGATATTGTAGAATAATATGCATAAATATTCTGGAAGAATCTGCATGCCTTTTATATAAATTTATAATGAGCGCATGTTTCTTTTGCAATCAAAATAAAGACATTTATTTTGAAAGGATAACCAGCAGAGGTGGAGTTGTAATATTAATGTATATACTCATACAGTTTTATTTCATATTTATATTCCTGCTTTAGATTGCTTCAGACAACTTTGTGCTTTGTGCTGGATGCTGCATGTCCGTGACCACTTATCCTATAGTTGCAGGCAATACCAGAAAGCAAGAGAAAATGTAAGGGGAGAAAAGGTATTTACAGTACCAGAACAAAAAGAATAAACAAACATTACTTGGGAAATTATTGTTTCATAGAAGATTTGTAGGACAACTTACTTTTGTACTCATTCTTGTCTACCTGTCTTAACAAATTAATTTTTCCAATATCCATTTAGGATCTTGAAGTGGAGTTTGATTCTTGTATGGTTGAGCACTGTCTCAGTGCAGTAGAATGGGCTTACAGAATGCTGCCTTTTTCTCGGTTTTTTAACATTGAAGAACTTACACAGGATATAATTTTGAGTCTTCTTGGAGAACTGCCACCGATTAGAAAGGTAATATGATTGCAAGTGAAAAGAAACTAAATCAGAATCAGAGACTTTAAAGGATTTTTATTTATTTTAATTAAGAATGATGTTGCCTAGCCAGGTGTGATAGTGTGTACCTGTAGTCCCGGCTGCTTGGAAGGCTGAGGTGTAAGGATCACTGGAGCCCAGCGGGTCAACGCTGGGGTGGCTGTTAGTGTGCCACTGTACTCCACCCTGGGCGACAGAATGAGACTCCAACTGAAAAAAAAAAAAATGATGTTGCCTTTCAGTGTCTGGTTTACTTCATTTAGCATAATATCTTCTGGGTTTAGAAGCACAGATGCTGTATAATCTCTCTTATGTGTGAATCTAAAACTTTAAACTCATAGAAGCAGAGTGTAGAATGGTGGATGCCAGGGGCTGGGGATGTGGTAGAAATGAGATGTTGGTAAAAAAAGCATAGACTTTCAGTTACGAGATGAATAAGTTCTAGTGATCTAATGTAACTTTCAGTTACAAGATAAATAAGTTCTAGTGATGTGGTAGCTATAGTTAATAATAATATATTATTTACTTGAAATTTGATAAGGGAGGATACTTTAAGTGTCCTCACCACGCTCAAAATAGTACCCATGCAGAGTGGTGTTAATTAATTTGAATGTGATAGTCAACACAGAATGTTTATGTGTATTAAGTCATCCCATTGTATATCTTGAATATGCACAATTCTTTTTGTCAGTTAAATATTTTTAAGTGAAAAAAAGAAAGTCAATGCTGAAGTCATACCAGTAGACTCACGCTCAAAGAGAGGCATTGACCTGACATCAAAAGATTAGTAACATGTATGCATTTATGTTTTGAGTTAAAATATTTGAGGAATGAAGAGAAAAAAATAATGATGTTTATAAAACTTAAACAGTTTTTTTTCTGAAGGTCGCAGAAATTTTTGTGAAAGCATTTCCCAATCCTGAGGATGTGAGAGTTCCTTTAAGAGAAAAATATCACTCTCTTCAGCAGAGACTCAGACACTGTGTTATAAAAGGTATTTATTTGTTATTTCTCAGATATGTACTAGATAAATTACTGAAGATTTTGTTTTCATAGCAATTATTATCTATAGCTTTTGTAGTGCATAGGCATTTCTGCCTTTTCCTAAAGATAGAAGTACAAGAAGGTGGTAGTAGTTCCACATTGCAGAAGGACTAATTTTACTGTTTTAGAACCAGAGGAGCTTACTTTATGTTTTGGTTCTGTCAGTAACTGTGTGTGACCTTCGCAATCTCTCTGAGACTCATTTTCTTATTTGTAAAATGGGCATATTATTACCTGTCTTGTGGTATGTATTGAAAGTGGATTAAATAAGATATATAAAATTAGCACATAGTGCTTTGCATATTGCAGTTATTTATTGAAAACTAGTCTTTTTCTCCCTTCATGGTTATTTATGCTTCTAATTTATTCTATACATTCAAGAAGACCTTGTGAAATTTTTGTTTATTGTGGCAAAATATATATACAATATTTTTATCTATTTTTAAAGAAAAATAAAATATATATAACAAAATTTACTATTATAGGTCGGTCATAGTGGTTCACACCTGTGATCCTGGCACTTTGGGAGGTTGAGGGAGGAGGATTGCTTGAGCCCAGGAGTTCAAGACTACTAGCCTGGGCAACATAGTGAGACCTCATTTCTAGTAAAAATTTAGAAAATTATCCAGGCCTGGTGGCATATGCTGTAGTCTCAGCTATTTGGGAGGCTGAGGTGGAAAGATCACCTGAACCCAACAGATTGAGGCTGCAGTGGCCATGAGTGTGCCACTGCTCTCCAGCCTGTGCAACAGAGTGAGACTCTCACTCCAAAAAAAAAAAAATTATTATTTTTTTGCCATTATAACTTTTTTTTTTTTTTTTTTTAGGAGACAGTGTCTCCCTATGTTGCCCAGGCTGGAGTGCAGTGGCTCAGTCATAGCTCTCTGTAACTTCTAACTCTTGGACTCAAGTGATTCTTCCACTTCATTCTTCCAAGCAGCTAGGACTACAGGTTTGAGCCACCATGCCCAGCTTATTTTAGTCTTTCTTTTGTTTTGTTTTTGAGTTGGAGTCTCAATCTGTCACCCAGGATGCAGCCACCCCATCCTCGACCTGCTGGGCTCCATGATCCTTCCACTTCAGCCTTCCAAGTAGCTGGAACTACCGGCACATGCTACCATGCATGGCTAATTTTTGATTTATTGTAGAGAAGAGGTCTTGCCAAGTTGCCCTGGCTGGTCTCGAACCCACGGGCTCAGGCAGTCCACTCACCTCGGCCTCCCTGAGTGCTGAAATTACAGGCTGAGCCACTGAGCCCAGCCATTTTAACCATTCTTAAGGGTATAAATCAATACATTCACAGTGTTGTGGAAATTTTTTTTTTTTTTTTTTTTTTGAGTTGAAGTCTCACTCTGTCGCCAAGACTGGAGTGCAGTGGCCGCTCCCGGCCACCGCAGCCTCGACCTGCTGGACTCCGACGATCCTTCCGCCTCAGCCTTCCAAGTAGCTGGAACTACAGGCGCACACTACCATACCCGGCTAATTTTTTTTGATTTATTGTAGAGATGAATTCACCTTACCCTCTTTTTAGAACTATAATCCGGTATTTAAGCCTAGGTATACATGGTGATTTCACATTATTATATTAGTATGCTTATGTTGTATTTGTGATTTATATTTTTCTTAATGCTTTTTTGACATCCTCTAAAAGGTTGTTTATGTATTAATAATGTTTAAAGATTTTTTTATTGAAAAACTTTCCTTGCTATTATTTTCTATTACTTGTAGTAAAAAAGTGTCCTTGTTTTCTTGGCTAAAAAATACTCATTATCTCTTACTCTGTACTCTGTGGGAATGGAAAAAATATTAGTCATTCTTTTTATAATTATCCTTCTGATTTTTGCGATAACTAAATGGCTTAAACCTTTTTTTTCCTCAGAGCACTTTTTTTTTAATGGGCCCCAAGTCCTGTCTCATTTATTGTTTTTTAATGGACCTTCCATAGCTTCTACAGTTCTACTTTAAAATATGGACCATACCTTTCCAAGGAATGCTGAAGAAAATCTGATCTGTAAGCATGTGGAAATAAACGTTAGTCATCAGTTAGGTTTCCTGTCACCAGGAGAAACTAGAATTGGATTTCCCTATGTCTTGAGTTGAAACAGTTTAATGAACCATAAGACTCTTTTATTCTTTTCTTTCTAGGTCCCCAGACTGAGGAAATGATGTCTGTTATTATGCATTCTATCCATAAAGTGAGAATAAAGGCCCTAAAACGTGTACAGAGAAATATAGGTTCTTTTGAGATGAGTATATGGGAACCAGTTGAAGAAGAGAAACCAGACGAGACTCCAGGTTTTGACAGGTTTTCTCTGGGAACTAGTTTGAGCAGAAGTACACTAACAGAACCAGGGAATTCTGTGGTTCACAGTGATGCAGATACAGCAGATACATTCTCTGAGGGTTTGTCAGTTGAAGAAAAAAGTGGGATACATTTCTATCAAAGGTACAGTTGGAGATCGTTTAATAACAAGCATTTACTTCCGTTGGGAAAAAAATGATTTCCATGTGTTCATGCAGTTGATAAGCTGATTTCTAGTCCCCCACTGATTGTACTATTAGCAATATGAATAGGTGCTACCCTTCCACTCACAAGGGTATTAGTAGCATAAAATGAGACAATGTTTGAAAATTCATTTTTAATATTATTGAAACATGAAATAATTTTACCATCTGAAATTATAAAATAAAATGAGTAAACAAAATTCTAGAGTTTACTGGAGGACTTTAGTTTTTTAATATTCTTTGGATTTAAATAGGTTGGTATTACTGAGTTAGCCATATTATTTTTATGGGTTTTTAGGGAGTAAATTGTACTTTTCATCTTTGAAACTTGTCCATAAATTACTGGGAAATTCTTGGTTATCATCTAAACCTCCGCTACTGTGATTCAAGCCGTTTTTTCCTTCATAATTCCACTATCTGCAATGCAAATAATCATTCTTATGACTTATAAGACTATTTAAGCAACAGTAATCTTGCTTGATCTCTTCTACTCCAAATATATGCCTAAACCATATCTAATTGCATTTTAAATGGTTTACTAGTTTCACAAAACTACTGTGCTTAAATGTTAACATGGGAACATGTGCATTCTTAATAGGAAAGAGATGGGATGACTAGCTCAGGTGTCCAACAAACACCTCTGCACTTATTGAGGGAACTAAGTATCTGTGTTCTGCCCTAAGAACCATATTGAAAAGAAACATTTAAAAATAATTGTGATTGAGCAGCTAAGGTGGCTTGCCCAACAGGTTTCATACTGGCTAAAAGTGTTTAGAAAAAGTTCTCAATTTTTGTGTGGTTTAAAAAACAAAACAAAACAGTTATGCTTGCACATGTTATAAATGGAACTGAAAGGGGCAGATGCAAGAGAGGAGGAAGAAACCCCAAATTACCATGTATATTAGTGGCTTGGGATTTTTATTGACTTTGTATTCCTAAATTCTGATCTGGTAGAAGGCCATTTTTTTTTTTTTTTTTTTTTTTTAGTTGGAGTCTCACTCTGTCGCCCAGACTGGAGTGCAGTGGCCGCTCCCGGCCACCGCAGCCTCAACCTGTGGGCTCCGGCGATCCTTCCGCCTCAACCTTCCAAGTAGCCGAAATTACAGGCATGCACTACCACGCCCGGCTGATTTTTTTATTTATTGTAGTGATGAAGTCTCGCTGCCCAGGCGGGTCTCGAACCCGCGGGCTCAGGCAATCCACTCACCTCAGCCTCCCAAACGCATGGGATTACAGGCTGAGCCACCGAGCCTGGCAGGAGGCCATTTTTTATCCCTAGAAAAAATATTCATGTTCTTTTATGGTGACATTTCTATGAACACATTTTAATCTCTTTTTTTGTTTCTGTTTTTGTTGTTTTTATGAGTTGGAGTTCCACTCTGTCACCCAGGCTGGAGTATAGAGGCATGATCATTGTTTATTGCGGTCTTGACCTCCTGTGCTCAGGCAATCCTTTCACCTCAGCATCCCCAGTAGCTGGGACTACAGACACGCTGCACCACACCCCCATCTAATTTTTAATGTTTTTTGTAGAGACGAGGTCTTGCTATGTTGCCTAAGGTGGTCTCTAACTCCTGTACTCAAGCATCCTCCCACTTTGACCTCCCAAAGTGCTGGAATTACATGCGTGGACCACCATACCTGGCCTCTCTTTTAATATGCATTTTCCCTTTTGATATTAATATGTTGTATTTCTTGACCTCATAGTATGTTCCACTTTTGAAAACAGGGATCACTTAAAAGATAAGTATTTGAAAAATTGGTAATTGAGGCACAAGAAAGATACATGATTAATAAGTAAGGAGAATTTTTAATGTCAATACTAAGCTCAGTTTTATTGATTAAATGATCTTTAATTTTGTCTTAAAATTTTTTTTTCTGTAGAAATGCTCCAAATCACGTGGAAGTATCATTGATTTGTAAGCACAGTGATAAAAAGAAAATATGCAATCAGAAAGAAAACCCTAAAAAGAAAGAAGATAATGAAAAGTTATCACAAAATACACTTCCTGTGATAGGTGTTTGGGAATTTGAACGTGATGATGATGAGTATATTACATTTCTTGATCTCTTCTTGAGTTATGTTCTTGAAAGAGACCTACTTAATTCCAGGAATCCTGGCATTCCATTTCTAACCAGCTTTTCTGGAAAGCTTAGAGAACACGAACTTCATTCTTTGCTTTTTGATGTACATACAACATTAAAACGACGTCAGGGCAAAACTAAAAACCAGAGTGTGTTTAGAGCTGGCTCCTGCTTTGTTGTTGCTCCTGAGTTGTATGAATCTGAAAAATCATCCTTTTTAAATGATGCATTTGCCATAAATTTAGAAAACTCAGCACTTTCAGCTTCAATACTGGCTAATCAAGGGATCAAACCTTTAATTTTAGAGAACTCTTTGAATAAGGCCAGTATAAATGAAGGAAAGAGTGGATTGTTCAGTTTAAAACAAAAATCAATTTACAGAATACAAGAAGACAATCGAGAGAAACCTCTAATCCAGAGATCGTCAGATCACATTTTTTGGACTCCCAAGTCCATTAAAAATAGAAGATGTATTTTCAGAGCAATTCAGTACAATGATATTAATCCTCATGAAGATCTCCCTCCAGCACTAAATGATACTTTTGGTAGTATAGGAAGACTGCTGGAATGGATGATAAGATGGTCTGATAGAAGAGTACTCTGTGATTCTGGTATGACTGAATCATCCCAAGAGTATAGTCCAGTAATGCGTGTAAAGACCTCTACAGCTGCCATTCTTACATCATTATGGCTTTTACAACAGCCCTATTGTGCTGCATATAAGGCAAAAAATGCCATTATTAAGGTAAGTACATCAATTACATACACTTGACAGTTCTCATGTTAGATTAAAACTTTATTTTCCCTACTAAAGCATCACAAAGTAAAGGAAAATTAATTACAATGGTGATTATAATCTGTATCACCTAATTTATTTTTCTTTCAGTAGTTTTTTTAATTCTTAAAAATAGTTACGGTGTTTACAATAAAAAATTAAGCCAGGTGCTGTGGCTCATGCCTGTCATCCCAGCACTTTGGGAGGCTGAGGGAGGAGGGTTGCCTGAGCCCACGGGTTTGAGATCAGCCTGGGCAACATGGCAAGACCTTGTCTCTACAATAAATAAAAAAAATTAGCTGGGTGTGGTGGCACATGCCTGTAGTTCCAGCTACTTGGAAGGCTGAAGCAGAAGGATCGCCTGAGTCCAGTAGATTGAGGCTGCAGTGACTGTGAGCGTGCCACTGCACTCCAGCTAGGGCCACAGAACGAGACTCTGACTCTAAAATAAAATAAAATACAATTAAAAATTTTTTAAAAACAGGGTGAAAGTGCTTTCAGAGAGGCTGTGAGGTTTTGAGATTTTATGTGTGTTTATAAAAAAGAAAAAAGGAAGAAGACAATTTTAAGTGATATTACAGTTGGTACTACATTTATATTATTTTTCCTTTAATTTTGAGTTCAGATGCAGAACTAGGTAGCTATCCAGTTTTAATTACTGATAATGCATCATATGCATCGGGATCATTTTTTTTAATACTCTCAGGCCAAAGGGGTTGGAGAACCAAACCTAGAAAATCAGATGTATATCACTAGAGGAGTTAGTGCTTATTAGCTATTCTTTCTTTTTTGTAGTCAGTGGCAAATGTCTTCATTCAAAAATAATTTATTTTTGGTTGAAGGATGTGAGTGTATGTGTGTATTTGGTTTTTGGGGGGGCTCTTTTTTTTTTTTTAGATCAGTTTCTGTTATCCTGAGGGATACAATTTATATGATACTGTGATATTTGCCATCCATGAAATTTTTAAGTGTATCTAGGTAATTTGTAAATTTTATGAGACAAAAGGAATACGTCCCTTATCTTTTTACCTGTGTATTTTTTTTGTAGTAGTTATTTTTGAAATAACTACTGAATGTCTTTGTAATTACAAAGATGATTAAGTGAGAATGTTACTTTTTTTGCCATTCTTTTGTGGCCTGAGAACAATGACAGTATACTTTACGAATTTGTAAGACTGATTTCTTTTGTATATTGCTTAGATAGTCAGATTTGCTTTTTCCAGTTGGAATAAAGACTTGGATCATTGCTTCAGCAACAACTATTGAGTTGACCAGCCTGGGAAGCATAGCAAAACTTTGTCTCTATCAAAAAAATAAATCAGCTGGGTGTGGTGGTGCATGTCTGTAATCCCAGCTATTTGGAAGGCTGAGGCGGGAGGACTGCCTGAGCCTAGGAGGTAGAGGCTACAGCAAGCCGTGATCATGCCACTGCTTTCAGCCTGGGTGACAGAGTGAGATCCCAACTCAAAAAATATGTAAATATTGAGTTGTAGAAATGCAGTAAATATCTAATAAATCAGAGACATAATCATAGATAGTCCTGTGGGAAGTATCAATAATTTAAAAATATGGTGAAGAATAAGGGGCTCAATAAAAATACTAAATATTATATTCTATAAATGGTTTGCTTTAGGTGCTAGAGAATCATTACACCGAGTCTCAGATTGGACCCAATATTGAGAGAGAGAGCAAAACAGATACTGGCTATTTAGTTGCAGTAGCAGCTCAAGGTGGAACTGATGAAGAAAATGATCAGAGTAAATCTTGTCAGAGTACCTTGAAGTAAGTTGCTAATTTTACCCTTCTTTTCAATAGAAGATATCTGGTTTGATGGTGTTTGGGCTTAAAGAGAATAATTTAACCTTTGCAAGTTAAAGGAATGAGCATTTCTTTGAGCTGGAGGAACAGGAAGTGAGCATCCTGAAGTGCTTTAGCAGGTTATTGCAAAGATTTCATTCCCATTGGTCTAGCTTGTATTTTCTGAGAGAGCAGCTAATTTAACCTGAGAGATTCCTTTATTATATTATTTACCATGACAGAGGAAGTTGAACTAATCCTTTCATCTATTTTTATATATGAAGCAATGCTAGGAGTAATATATCTTTGAATACCAAGGCAAAGACCCTTATAGCATGAGAATTCCTTTGTGGAAATGGTAATTTTAGATAAGTTGAAAGTATTCTAATCTTCTGAGCAAATAAAAACTAGGGTGTTCAGTCATTCATTGAACAGCCTTTTACTAATCTTCTGCTACTATGTATCAGAAATGTTTTTTAAAAAGACTTTATAAATATGAAACTGAATGGAACTGTTCTGTTTTAAAAAGATCAAATCAAATGAAAAGTAAGCTCTGTCTCCAAGAATGAGTTGTAATATCAGTTATTCCATTTTTGTCAGAATTCCAGCTGAAGCAAAAAATCCTGAAATAAAAGAAATCAATGATGAGATTATTCCTGTCACTCATAATACTGAAAAAGAATTTATAGATAGTGATGAGGATCTTTTAGAAGTAAAAACATTTACACAGGAGGAGATGGATATGCACATATCAAACTATGAAGGTCAGTTTATTCACTTTTAATCTTTTTCTTTGACTTTATTGATTTTAAGTTGGTAAATAATGTTATGTAAGATAACTTAAGAGGGGACCCAAAAAAAACTCGGAATTATCTTTTGGAGGGTAGACCCCTTGTAGTACAGGCTTCCCCCGCTAGATAAGTGTTCTAGGAACCCATTGGCATCAGTATACCAGCTAGTATTGTTGTGAGAGGCTGCATTTAGCTTCAGTGAATTTTTTGTTTTTGAGATTCTTTCAGTGTATCTGCCCATTTCATGATGGTTGATTTACGAGCACACCTGCCCACACCATGCTGAGTGTTCAGCAGTTTTTGACCAAAAATGGCATGACCCTGGGCCCTACTCTCCTTATTCACCCAGTCTTACCCACCCCAAGCAACTTTTTTTTTTGGTTTCCCTGAATGAAAAAAGTCCTCAAAGGGAAATGTTTTGCTGATGTGGAAGAGGTAAAACAGAAAATAGCAGAAGCACTAAAAAGCATCAAAACTGACAGGCTTAAACACTGTTTTGAGCAGTGGGAAAAGCATTTTGATAGGTGTATTGCATCAGAGTAGTTTGAAGATGACTGAAGTTTAAACATGTAAGGATAAATACACAGTTTTTTAGTAAATATGACTATTTTTGGATCTTTCCTTGTATTTTGTTTTATATTTAAGTTAGATATAAAGTTATGTTTACAGTAGCCTAAAACCAAATATTAATTTGAAAAGAATGTAATATTTATGAGATAATGGACATATTAATTCATAATCTTGGTTTTTAATAAAACCAAGAAGATCTCAGTTATTTTTATATTGATAGTTCTTTTACACTTATTGTAACAGTAATAGTAATCTTATTGCTACTTATGAAATAAGTATGATTTCTTAATTTCTGTGAACAACTCTATAAACTTTTTCCCAGCAATCTTATCGTGGATTTACCTGATGAAGAGGGAATAGTCTCCAGGGTTTTTTTGTTTGTTTGTTTTTTGTTTTTTATTATGAAGATGTTGGGTACAATTCAGGGTTAGGTATACAAACATTGATTATGCAGGTACCCTTGTTGATGGGGTATATGCCCCTCCCTTTCCCAGCAGTTTCCCTCAACTGCCAATCCCACCCCCCTCCCCTGACAGTTTCCCATTACTGCCAAACACTGTATTACAGTATTATAATTGTTCAAGGTCCCCTTATGAGTGAGAACATATGGTACTCTGTTCTTTGTTTCTGTGATAGATCACTGAGTCTGATTGACTCCAAATCCATCAAGTTGCTGTGAAGTACATATATTTGTCCTTTTTTATGACTGCATAATATTCCATTGTGTATATGTACCACATTTTCTTTATCCAGTCCGGCTTTCATGGACAACATGGTTGGTTCCATGTTTTTGCTGTTGTAAATAGAGCTGCAACAAACATACGTGTGTAGGTATCTTTTTTGTAGAATGATTTGAGTTCTTCTGGCTATATTCCCAATAGGGGAATTGCTGGGTCATATGGAAGGTCAATTTCTAGTTCTTTCAGAAATTGCCACGCTGTCTTCCAAAGAGGTTGCACTAGTTTGCATTCCCTCCAGCAGTGTAGAAGCTTTCCTTTTTCTACACATCCTCGCCTGCATCTGTTGTTTGTTTTATTAATGATGGCCATTCTTACTGGGGTTAGGTAGTATCTCAGTGTGGTTTAGATTTGCATTTCTCTGATGATGAGTGAGGCTGAGCATTTTTTCTTGTGTCTATTGGCTGCCTGTATATCTTCTTCTAATAAGTGGCTATTCATGTCTTTTGCCCACTTTTTAAAGGGGCTGTTTTTTCCTTTCGGTACGTTTGAGTTCCTTGTGTTTGAGTTCCTTGTGTTTGAGTTGAGTTCCTAGATGTTAGACCTTTGTCAGATACACAGTTGGCAAATATTTTTTCCCATTCTGTGGGTTGCCTCCCTGTTCTCTTAATGGTTTCTTTTGCTTTGCAGAAGCTCGTTAGTTTGATGAGGACCCACTTGTCTATCTTATTTCTTAAGGTATTGGCCTTTAGGGTTCTGAATAGGAATTGGTTGCCAGTTCCTGCCGGAGACCAGTGTTAAACCCAAAAATTTAAATCCGAGAGACCACAAAGAGCCAGCTCCGATGCAAACACACAAGGGTCTTTATTCAGGCTCGAGTCTGGGCTCACGTTTGAAGCCGATGCAGCGATTTCAGGGATGAGAGAGCCCCGACCCAGGCTAACACGCACCCTTTTATACATAATTCTGAAGGGGTGGCTTTACAAACTTGTGCACACAGGATTGGATAAAAACTATATGATGCAGTTACAAAGATTTGGATTGGTTGATTCGAGTTCAGTTTGCGCGGGCTCAGGCTTAGTTACTTGTGATGGACAAGTAACTGCCAAATGGGTGGAATGGAATGCCAGATAAGCTAGGTTTACACAGTCACTGCGTGTAAATTAACTTTGGCATGGGAACCGGAGGTTTGAATCAACATAGAGCCCACCAGGAGAGTGGCTAGCGCCTCAGAGTCTACTGCAATCTAAACAAAGGAATGTCCGGGAGGGGCTTATTGCTTAACATTCACACACTGCTAGCAGCAGTTGCAGAAGCAAAAGAAGCCAGCATGGCAATTGGGACAAACAAAAGCTTAACAAAGTTCTAAGTACAAACACTGCAAACAAATACAGTGAACGTGGGGTAGGAATTCATATAGTAATAGTTCTTTTTGAGTTTTTTTTAATCTCTTGGGTCTCTCACCAGCTCCAGCCGGGTTCAGGGTACCCCAAAGGTGGAGACGGCGTCGGCGATTGGGGGGAAGAAGAAAGAGATAGAGAGAGAGAGAGAGAGAGAGAGAGAGAGAGAAAGAGACTGGACTCCAGTCTGGTGCAGAAGCGATGTGTGTTATTGGGAATTACAACGGGTCTTGTATACACAAAGTCAGATGTGGGAGGGGCGTCCCCCACCCACCAGAAACCTTAATCCCTGAAAACTTAATCAGTGATTGCCTTTAAACCCTTTTCATATGATAATCTTAAAATCCCATAACATAGGATAACCTAATCCATGACTGACATATTCTATAAACCTTTTTCATCCTAAGCTGATTGACTTATGCCAAGTTAAACAATTCTATAGAAGCTTAAGTATTTACTTTACAAATGAAAGTGGCCCATCCCAGAATGTTTGGAATGTGGCCCAGTCCAAAATTCATAGTGCAAGTAACCCAGCCGCATTCTTTCAACAAAATGGCTGTCTTCTGAAACTATATTCTACAATTTACACCTTCAGTAAATCCTAAGATCATGACCCAGAAGCCTGTGACCAATACTAAGGCTCGTAGATGTGACACGAGTTTGAATTATAAGTTGTGTGAAAGCCAAAACTGCAGTTTGAGGAAGAATGGGAGCAATGAGCTTCTAAAGTTAGCTTGTGTTCGTCCCGGTCTCAGAGTTTTTATGTTTTGAGCTCACAGGAGCTTAATCTGGTTAGTGCTGAGTAGAAAGGGGGAGGAAATGGGGTCAATAGCTCCTGAACGCATCCTAGTGGTCTCAGGGTCAACGGCCCTTCCTGATCCCTAACGCTCAGTGGGCCTCTGTGGCTGGCTCCCAACAAGTTCCAGTTTCCATAAGGGCGTCTCCTGCATTTTCTAAAATTCTTATAGTTTAAGGTTTTATGTTTAGGTCTTTGAACCATTTAGAGTTAATTTTTGTGTATGGTGATAGGTAAGGGTCCTGTTTCAATCTTCTACATGTGGTCAGCCAGTTTTCCCAGCACCATTTACTGAATAACTTCTCCTCTCCCCAGTGGTTGTTGTTGGAGGCTTTGTCAAAGATGAGTTAGTTGAGGAATTGAGGCTTTGGTTCCAGAATCTCTGTCCTGTTCCATTGGTCTGCATGCCTGTTCTTGTACCAGTACTAGGCTGTTTTGATTATGTTAGCCTTATAGTAAATTTTGAAGTCTGGAAGTGTGATACTCCTGCTTTGTTTATTTTGCTAAGGATTGTTTTGGCTATTCGTGGTTGTTTATGTTTCCATATGAATTTCTGTATTGTCATATCCAGGTCTGAGAAGAATGATGTTGGTAACTTAATGGGTATTGTGTTGAATCTGTAGATTGCCTTTGGTAGGATAGACATCTTAACAGTGTTGATTCTTCCTATCCATGAGCATGTAATATTTTTCCATTTATTTGTGTCTTCTTGGATTTCATTGGGCAGTGTTTTATAGTTCTCATTGTAAAGGTCTTTCACTTTTCTGGTTAGGAAGATGCCGAGGTATTTCATTTTTGTGTGTGTGGCTATTGTGAATGGGATTGTACTTTTAATTTGGGTCCCTGCCTGCTTCTTGTTGGTGTATAGGAATACAACTGTTGTTTGCACATTTATTTTGTACCCTGAGTCTTTGCCCAAGTACTTTATCAGTGCAAGCAGGTTTTTGACAGATTCTCTTGGATTTTCAAGGTATAGGATCATATCATCAGCAAAGAGGGATA